CCACCACCACCACCACCACCCGGCCCCGCGCGCCCCGCCCGCACGGGTGAGCCGCCAGTGAGGAAGGGCCACGTCGCCCGAAGCTCCAGCTGATATTGTCTGTCCTCGTCGCACCACCACCACCGGCCGGCATGGGCCGGCACTAACACGGCACACGAGGCCCACGGCGGCCGCGCAGAAGAGGTAAAGACAGCGCCGGTGTCCGGCAACATTCGTCAGTCTTTCGCCCCACGCCGACGCGGACGTTGAACCAGAAGCAGCAGCACGGCATTCCCTTCCCTCGCCGCACCGAAAGGCCGCACCCGCATCACACCACCTTCCCTCTCAGGTGAGCGCCACCCGTTCGTGCGATGATTCCCCCCCCCCCCCCCCGTGTGCTTTGTATTTTACTCGCCAGCTTATTTGTTGTGTTCCAACTAAGGATGTAACGGCGGCCTCCCCGTAGCGTAAAGCGTATCTTTCGATTTACTTTCGAACAAATTTGCCTACACTCGCCCGGCGACGGCAACGGTAGTAGACATACACAGACACCCCCCCCCCCCCTCTTTCGGTGTGTTGTCGATACAGAATGTTAGCGAGCCGTGCGCGTTTTCTGTCAGTCAAGAACGACGTTTATCTCTCTTGTCTTGAAACTTTGCAACGAAATGACGCTTCCAAGGCAGTAAGCCCAGCTACTCAAGTGCCGGGGCACACTGGAACACCAACACTCTTCCTAAGCAGCGGAACATGAGTTCCAAAAGCGCTCTAGTTTCAAACTTGGGCGACACTACGTAGTCAAAGGTCAATTTGAAGTCATCACAACATAACCTACGATGACCGTAAGTGCAACCACTGCGCTGCATGCAGCACAATGCCAGAGTGTACAAGTAGAATCACTCGCTGCACCATCTAACGAAAACGGGTCCATCGGCTGAAGGGATTGCAGGCGGGCACGTGCCGCCGGAGACGGGCCCGGGGAAGTGTTCTTCTCGTTCGGAAAGGTGTTTTGCGTCGGAAGCGTCGCGCTCCACGGCACCGCCCCTCCCACTAGTGCGAGTTGCTCTGATTGGCTGTCGTTTGTTACCGCGCGAAAAAGGCACTCGTTCAAATGGTGTCGCTCGGCTGACGTGGCGGAAGAGAAGCGTCCGCCCGCGCTGGTCAGCAGAATTTCGGTCGGACGCGATGAAATTAGTTTTCTCACAGCGGATGAACCATAAGCGAAACTAAACGTTTCGTTGGGAAACTGATAAGAGTGCATTTTCGGCCAACGGAGGAAGAAGAAGAGCGGGATAGAACATAAAGATTAATCTTATGAAATTCCAGATTCTGATTCTTGATATTCCTGATTGGTCGAGCATCTACCGCCTCTACCGGCGTGACGTAGAGGCGTTAAACGCGTCAAACTCTTGACCAACCGGGAGCGTTCATGTTCAACCCGCTCGTCTTCTTCCTCCGTTAGCACCCCGTTTAGCACCTCCGTTACACACTATGGTTGGTGTGGTGCAGATTACCCTGTGATTTGCTTCTCCCTCATTCGGTCCGAAAGTGAGCTCTCCCCACCACTTTCCCCACCCTTCCCCGCATGTTTTACCCCAGGGGAGGGGAGCGTTTTTGCCCCCAGGCGAGGTGGACATGCAGGGAATGGTGGGGAAAGTAGTGGGGAGAGCTCACTTTCGGACCGAATCGCCAACGAGCCGTCCTATCCTGATCGCAGACACCCGCCACCGCGCCCCATAGCGACGACGCCATGGCCGTGAAGCTGACGGACGAGGACGTGCGCGCCGCCCTGGCCAGCTCGCTCGGCTGCCAGGACATCCAGGTCGAGAGCTGGAAGCAGGTGTCGCTCATGGAGGACGGGCGCCTCGGCTTCCTCGGCGACCACTTCAAGGTGACGGCCACGGTGCGCGTGCCCGGCGACGCCGAGGCCCGAGACGCCTCGCTGTTCGTCAAGGCCCTGCCCAGGAACCCCATGGCCCGCGACACGGTCGCCAACTCGGGCGCGTTCAAGAAGGAGGCCCTCTTCTACAAGTACCTGTCGTCGGCCATGACGGCCGAGCTGCGCGTGGACCGGCCGGGCTTCCAGCCCTACGTGTTCCCCCAGTGCCACGGCATCAAGGACGACTGCCTGCTGCTCGACGACCTGGGCCGCGACGGCTTCCACGGGCTCGGCGGCCGAGAATGCATGCCCATCGAGCACGCCAGGCTGGTACGTGTCGTGTGAGTGTGAGCCCTGCTCTCGCCGCCATAAGAGAGCTTGGATGCAGGGGGGTATACTTCACTTAGGAGCGGCCGCGCGGGGGCCAGAGTCAGTGGGGTGAGGTCGCTACAAGCCTTGGGG